ATGCATACGTATATATGAATATGACATGAAAGCCAATTATTAAAAAGGCCTTCACATAGTAGTTGCAGAGATAGTGGGAGAGATATCTTTTCCAACTTATCTGCAAACCTTAACACAAAAGCAAGAATCATGAGAAAACAATGGAACAGGATGCCTCCCAAAAATTTGTAACTCCCTTAAAACTGATCTCACAGACATTGGAATGGATAAAATTTCAGACAAACTTATAGTTAAAATGAGCAAAGAGATACAAATATGAAGAAGCTGAATTATTTTTTAATTAAAAATGTTTTATGTAATACTGGGGATTGAGCCCAAGGCCTCCATACCACACTACATTCTCAGCCATTCTTTATTTTTTGACAGGTCATTAGTTGTCCAGGTTGGGCTTTAGTTTGTAATCTTCTAGCCCAGGCCTCCCAGTTGCTGGGATTACAGGCACATACCACCACGCCCAACTCAGCTGAATGAATGAATTATCAAAATGATCAATGAACTCAAAGAAGATACAAATAAGGAGCTGAATGAATTAAGGAACACAACAATGGATGTGAAATAACATTTTAGTAAAGAGATGTTCCAAAATAGAACAAAACAAAAACCCTGGAAATGAAAACTTCATTTAGTCAAATAAAAAACTCAGTTGAAAGTCTCAACAGTAGGGTTGATGAAGCAGAAGAAAGAATATCAGGGCTTGAAAACAGATGGATGTACTAGAATATTCAGACAATAGTAGAGAAAAAAGAACCAGAGTCAGTGAACACAATAGTCAAGGGCTCTTGGACAGCACTAAAAGACCAAATTTAATAATGATAGGCTTTAAGAAAGGTGAAGGCATATAGGCTAATGGCATAGGAAAACTATTCAGTGGCATTATAGCAGAAAATTTCCCAACATCTGGGGAATGAGATGGATATCCAGGTACTAGAAACATTTAGAACATCAAATAAATATGACCAGAAAATAACTCTTCATAATATGTTATAATCAAATTGCCAAAATTCAAAATAAAGAATATTAAAAATGCCACATCACTTGTAATAGCAAATCTATCAGAATAACAGCAAATTTCTCAAATGAAACTCTATAGACCTGTGAGGGTTGGAATGACGTATTTTAAGCCTTGAAAGAAAATAACTGCCAACTTAGATTAATAGAAAATGTAGGCCTATCCTTCAGATTTAAAGGAGAAAGAAAACCTTTCAAACTAAGTATAAACTGAAGAAATTTATGACCCTTAAGCCAGTATTGCAAAAGATACTTTAAGGGATCCTTAATACAGAAGACAAACATATCCTTGAGAGCAATGGACATAATAAATCTCATTAGAAGCATAGGTGTTTGAAAATCAGGAATAAGCCAAACATTAGAAAAACAACAAAATGATGGGAATTAGCACATATCTTTCAGTAATAACACTTTGCATAAGTGATCTTAATTCTTCAATTAAATGACAGACTGACAGACTGGATCTGAAAACAAGGCCCAACTTATGTTGCCTGCCAGAAACACATTTCACCTGCAAAGACATATACAGATCAAAAGTAAAAGGATGAAAAATGATACTCTGAAGAACTGGAGCTCTAAGGAAAATAAGTGTACCTGTACTTGTATTCAACAAAGCAGCCTTCTAGCGAGAAGAGACAAAGATCACTACCTATTGATAAGGAGAAAAATTCACTAAGAGAAAACAATTGTAAATATATATGCACTGAACATTGCCACACCCAATTTCATAAAGCACACTGTTTGACATAAGGGGACAGTTAGACCTCAGTAGAATCACTGTTGGTGACTTCAATACCTCACTCTTGAAAGAAGAGCTCAACCAGGCCCCTCCCCCTGCCAAATCAAAGAAACATAAATGGGCTTAACAAGCATCTAGAGTGACCCTACAACAGCAGAATATACATTCTTTTCAGCAGCTCACAAAACTTTCTCCAACATATACCACATTATAGGCCACAAAGTAAGTCTTAAAAATTACAAAAACTTAAAGCAATCTGAGGCAATCCTATCAGATCATAGTGAAGAAACTAGAAATCAACAGCACTGGAAACCACAGAAACTACACAAACACTTTTGATTGATCAGTGGATCATTAAAGAATACAGGGAGGAGAAATTAGAAAATTGGTAGAATAATGAAAACAGAACACAGCCAAATCTGTGGGTTGCAATGAAACAGTTCTAAGAGGGAAGTTTATAAGCATGAGTGCTTACGTTAGAAAAGCTGTGTGATTCCAAATAACATGATGCATTGCTAGATACTAGAAGAACAAGAACAAACCAAACCCCAAACCAGTAAAAGGAAATAAATAATGAAAATCAGAAAAGAAGTTAATGATACAGAGATTAAAAGACAATAAGAAACCCTTAGCCCAACTAATCAACAGAGAGAGAAGATCCAAATCAATACAATTAGAGATGAAAAGGCAAAATTACAACATTCACCACTGAAATCCAGGGGATTATTCAAAACTACTTTGAAAATTAATATTCTAATAAACTGGAACTTCTTGCAGGATGCCTTGCAAGCAGTCAATACTTAATGAACGTTTTTCCGTTTATTTAAATAGCACTGAGTGTACTAGACACTTTGACTAAAGCAGCAAATATAACAAAGTCACACAGAAATTACTTTGTTGTAGAAGATCCAACTAATAAGTGAGTGCGCATATAATTTGTTAGGTGATAAGTGCTGTGAACAAAAGAAAGAAATGTAAGGTAAAGAATAGGAAATCTTTCCGGGAAGACCTAGCAAGTAGCATTGCAACTGAGGTTTCTGCCCCCTCCAGAGAGCAGGATGAGTCTGAAAATAACCAGTGTTTCCTCCACTCTTACGCAGTCAGCTTCCATCAGCTAGGATGGGAGCACTGGACTACTGCTCTCCTTCTATACCCCAAATTACTGTAAGGGTACTTGTCCAGGAGTGCTACACTGTGGTTCATTTCCCCCAGTCATGCCATCATCCAGAGCCATGTCCATGACCTGGTGAACCAGAGCATCGCTCAGCCTTCCTATATCCTTGTAAATATGTTGGCATGAATGTTTTTCATATTGAGGCAAATGGGAGTATTTTGTACAAAGAACATGAAGGTATAGTTGCACAGTCCTGCACATATAGGTGAGAGCAAAGGTTCAACCCACTCAGGTTTCCCAAGAAACTGGAAAAGGGTTTAAAAGAAATAAATATCCATGCTAAAGCTGAAAGGAAAAAAGGTTAGTTCAAGGCCAGGAAGGGGCTCTCTGATAAAATGATATTTGGACTTCAAACTAGATTAAGTACAAAAGCCATGTTGCTATCAAGGTGAACAACATTCTTAGCGTAGTAACAGTAGATGGATTTCACTGAGTGAGATAGGAAGCCAAATAAGGGTTTTAAGTAGAGGGATAATTTGATTTTATGTACATTTTCAAAGGCTCACTCTGGCCCTTGGGTGAGCTGTAATCTAGTGGAGGGGGTGGAGTTGCAGGACTGGTAACAGAGAAATAACCTAAAACCCACTGTCTGTGTGGACCAGAGAGGAGAAGGCGTCACGTTTCAGATTCACCAATGGCTGTAGGATATGAAGGAGGAGGACTCAATGTTGATGTCAAGTTTTGTGATTGGAAAGACAGAAGAAAAAAATTGCTAGCTGCTAGATGAGGACAAGGGAAGAAACAGATAGAGGTAAAAGTGAAAGAGTCAAGCATGCGATTTTGGATGTGCTAAGTCTGAGATGCTCGCTTCTCGCTCGTGGTACGGAACCAGGGAGGCAGCTGGGAATGGGAGTGGGAAGTTCAGGCCAGGGGCCATGGCTGCCGAGCAAAGAGTGAGGACGAACAGAGCTCAGGTTTCCAAAAACTGAACTCTGAGATGCTTTGTGATTTAGGAATCATGGTGACGAGGATCGAAAAGAGGCTGAGGAGGAATAACTACTGAAGTTGGAAGAAGGCTGGAAAAAAATGTCTCCCAGAAACTGCCTTGGAAATAAAAAACCAAGAATAACTACTACTAATTGAAGGCTTAACACCTGCTAAACATTTTTCTAAGCATCTTATGTATAATCCCTTAACTAATCCACTGAGGGGTCTTAAAGTATAGATTAGAAAGCTGAGGCTTAGAGAGGTTAAATGACTTGTTTAGGGATTTGAATATAATTTTATCTAAATCTGCTATACTTAAAAAAAAATTTTAGTATATATTTGCGGTACATGATTTTTCCATTCCTTGTGTGGAGTTGGTACGTGCACATAGCACATCTTCAATGCTTTTATCGGACCCTTTCCCTTCCCTCCCTCCTTCCATCTCTCGATTCTCTTCCCATTTGAGAAAGATCTGTCCACTTCCTATTATCTATCTATTATTTTGCTCTTTAGCCATAATTTTGATTTCTCGAAGTAGAGAAACCATACAATATTTAAGCTTGTATGTCTGATTTGTCTCCCTTAACAGTAATGGCCTCAAGGTACATCCATTTTCCTACAAATAAAATCTACTGTACTTCTTTAAAGGTTGGGCTATGTCCTTCCAGAAGATATGTTAAAGTTCTAGTCCCCAGGACCACTTCAGAGTATGAGTTTGTTTGAATACAGGGTCATTACACATGTAGTTAATAAAGACGAGGCCTAGCAGAGTAGGGCCGGCCCCTAACCTCAGTGAAGGGTAAGGATTCTCTGTCTTGCAGCGGCTTCATTTCATTCTCGGTCTTGTCCTGTGCCCTTCTCCTCGTGGGTCTCTGTACCCACTTGGTCATCTGTGGTAAGGACGCCAATCATATTGGGTTAGGTTGGGGGCCTCCCACCAGAAACTAGGAGGAGGCAACGGAAGGGTCTCCGACAGAGGAGGAAACATGGCCCTATTTCACCTTGATTACTGACTTACGGCCTCCAGAGCTGTGTTGTGGTGCTTTGTTGTGAAACCCATAGGAAACTAAGCTAACAGTACAGCGCTCCCACCCACACTCACACAGTACATGTGAATTGCTTAGCCAGTGCGGGCTGATCGACCAAAATGAAATGGGAGTGGGGCTGAGTTCATCATTCTGCAACGTGAGATCATGGTTAATGTTAGATTTTTTAGATGTTAAAATGTTAGATTTTTAGATGGTATAAAGCATACATATCATTAGCCATCAAAAGCACCATATATTGGAACAGTTAAAATCACTATACCTTCATTATGAAAATTTTATAGTGAAATCTAGAATGATTTTAGCAGAATTGGGAAAGCTCACCTACATAAATGTCATGAATAACACTGTCTTTGGATAATGCTGACAGATTTCCATGTCCTGCAGATGTTTGTAGAACTCCGGTAGTAGTGAAATTTTGATAAGAGTAGTATACCTTATGTTTGTCCCATAGTATTAATTCTGGCATCCCTGACAATAGAAAACGTGGAATGAAAAAACTGGCAATGGGGACATCTAACACAAAGTCTTGAGGCACCCACTGCATCGAGTCTTCATTATAGATCACTATGTAAATCTTTTTGGTGTTGGTACACGTGATACAATAATTTAACAACACAGCAAGTTCCAGAGGGTGCCCGGTGTAGTCGATATTGTGTATTGTCAGAGTGCCACTTGGTGGAAGATTTAGAAGACTTTTCAGTTCTGCAGTAGTTATGATTTTGACAAATTTATTTTCAGAATACCCAAAGTAAATTTCATCTTCTGTCCAGATGGCAATGCTGCTTACAACTTTTACATTCTGTGAAAAATAATTGAAAATAATTTGTAAAACCTTTAACCACAATGACCAGTTTAAAACTTTAAAAATATAACCCACTACAGAGAAAGAACCAAGAGGAGATGTACAGAGATCAGACTGGTCACAAAGCAAGGGTATGAGTAATGATTACATAGATTAAGGTCTAAAATGTTGGCAAAAACCCTAAACTACTACTCATATTCTTTCCTGATCAACACGCTTCCAGCAGGGCTCAGTCGGGCCCAAATCTGGGCCTAAAGTCTTTGCTTCTGCAGTGGTTCACACATCCACAACCAACAGTATGAGAAAAGTCCATAAAAATTGCGGAGAAAAAGAAGTTTATTTTCAATTTTGCTAAATTAGGAGGGCAGCTATTGTGGCCCCCAGTCCAAGGCACAGAAGCCCTCCAATTTACAGACAGGTAGAACCAAAGCCAGGAAATATTGGAAAGTAGGTTTAGGCAAGCTTTGGCCTGGAGGGTGGGAAGTGGTGAATTCGCCTTAGCATCAGGCCTGGGGCTTGCTGGTTTACACTCTCAGCATGAAGAAGCTGGAAATGTAGCCTATCTCTTAAAAAAAAAAATCTAATTTTTAAAGATCCAATTTACCCTCTTGATTACAGCTGAACCTTTCTGTTTCTGAATAGCCGCTATCCTAGATTGGATGATAGCAACTTTCTGGTGTTTCATATCACTATGTCTTGTCATTTGATACACTCCCCTGGATTTTAATATTTTTATCTACTTAAATCTGTTAAACACATTTTATATTCTGTCAGTTCTAAAGCCTAATGTCCTTGAAGGGATTATTCTGGTCTTCGTTATTTCTGATGACTTCCACCACACCTTTTTTCACTATGGCTTTGGCCATGCTCGAATATGAGCTCAGTTTTGTCAGAAAAATAGTTTTAGACATTCTTCAAAGCCTGACTTGAGGGTTTGTTCTTTCAAAAAAGGATTTATGTTTGCTTTTGTTTGGTGCTTGTCTTAATGGCTTCATTGACCCTTATAAGCACTGTAAATTTGGGTTCCAAAGCAAATGTGAACTGGCTCCTGTGCATAAATTCCAAAGAAAAGTTTTTTCTCCCCTTCTAAAATTAAAGTGGACATAGTCTTCATCGTGTTGAGGACATTTTGAAGGTCTTTGCTTCATGCAAAAAGTTGAGATTCCTTACTTTTGCTTAGGCCTAAGGCTCTGTCTCTTGGCACCCGAGTTCTGATTATCTGGGATTGAGGTAGGACAGAAAAAATAAAAATAAGCAGAAAGGAGACAAGGAGAATTGTCCTTTTAAATAAAGCCACAGCTTTGGGATACAATCAAAGTTTCCCAAGTTTTGTGGGGTTTTTTTGTTTTGTTTTGTACCCGGGATCGAACTCTGGTCTTTGCACTTGTAAGACAGGCAGCAGAACCACTGAGCTAAATCCCCAGCCCCTTCCAAGTTTGTAATATTTTCTTCCCTTCAAGAAAACTTCACACACACACACACAGACACACACACACAGACACACACACACACACACACACACACACACACACACACACACAAATCCTAAGGGTTTTAAAGATATGATAAACCTCAAAATTTGGTTTATGCTATTCACCTGCAAATTGAGTCTCAACTTTTCCTCCCACAAACTTCTATCCTTGAGGAAGCAGCATTGTTAAGTGAGTAAAACATCTCTAAACTTCAAATGGTTTGCATTCTAATATAGCTCACCAAATGGGTAATCTCACAGATAGTAGAAAGACATATATGTCCTAGGTCACCCCAGACCATGATACAATCTCACTCTCTAAGTCCCTCTGCAAGCGTAATTCTGCCTGCCAAATAAAGCTTTCTGTGCCACTCACAGGTATTTCCTGAGATTATTTTCTGTGATGGGGGTCAGTGAACCTACACCTATGCCATGGGTGGTGGTGAACTGATGACCCCACCTCTTCTTCGGAGGGACCTCCATGGACCCCACATAATGACAGGATCCGCCCCTAGAGCACCTAATGTTATGGAGTTTGCTTGTTCTTCTGATCAGTGCTCTAGGGCACTCTTTTTTTCTCTCAGGATTTCTCTTAATTCCCTACTAGCCTGACAATGTAATTTTAAAAATACTTGCCATTTTTGTGCAGTATTTTAAGTGCTTTGTAGTGGAAAAGTTTCAGTATATCCTACCTACCACATTGTCTTAAATGGGAGATTTGGACCATTTTGGAGGGCACACAGAGTCTTTGGGGAAATTTTGTGGGGGGAGTCTTTTGCTCATATGAAAGTAATAAAAAGCCCCCACGATATGACAGAAACGCTCTGCACAGTACTATACAAGGCTAATTTTATTATTGATTATTTATTGTTGGAGATGCATCTTTATTCTCAGGACTCTAAGAAGTTGGGTCAATAAGCTTTTTACAGCCTTATATAAAATAACTATGCAAAATGCTTCATGCCACTAAATACAGTGTATGGCAAACACTGTACCTAAATATATATATATAATTCATATATATGTAATCTTTCACTAACCTTAATTATGTATTTGATCCAACACCATCTTCTTGACGTAATGCCAAGAATTTCACCCTCTGGCAGATGTTTCTCTCTTCCTAGTTTTGTCAGTTCTTTGGTATCTTTTAGGTAAAGAACACCATTTATTAGAAAATATATACTGTCACGCAGCAGGAGCACAGAATCCACATTGTGCCTTTCAGCGTCACTCAGGATGTTTGGAGGCACTGTGACTCTGGTCCAAGTGCTGAAGGAGTCATTTGTTTGAAAGGTTTCCATGTCAGTCACCACAACAACTAGTGAAGGAAAACAAGCATCCCAGGACAACATTAACTGGCTACCAGCTGGTGAAGTGATCGGTAAAAACCCAGGAATCTCAGGTTCGAGCCACACAGGAAAAGTCAGCAGAAAAGTAAAGTCTGCCACAAAGCAGTCTTGAAAAATCACTTGGTTTCCTCTAATATTTTTTATCACGTCATCTCTGGTCATTGGAAGAGTAACACGCCAGGTCCTAAATGGGGGGAAGGATAAAATCGTCTCTCTCTTCTCTGACCCATCTTTCAAAGTTTATCATCTTTCAGAAGAACTTATTTTTATTAACAGAGGCCTGGATAAAACAATACTAAAATGCTACCCCTGATCCATTTCTTTTCTTTCTTTACTCTGTCTCAAAGGAAATAATCTTAGGGCAGGAGGTGCATGCCTATAGTCCCAGCACTTGAGAGGTTGATGGAGGAAAATTGCCTTGAATTTGAGGCCAGCCCAGGCTACATAGTGAGACCCTGTCTCAAAAAAAATTTTTTAAAGGAAAATAATCTTACTCTTAATGGTCTTTATTTGCAATATGTCTCCATATTTTCAAATTAATATTCTTATTTTACTCTTTGTTAAAATACATGTTTTATACATTATCTATTGCCTTTGGATAAAGAAAATGCAGATATGTCTCTTATATACCTCGCTTACCCAGACATCTTCTCTTCCCGTTTCTCAAATTAGTTATATTGATTAGTTAATTCAATAGAGTCCTTATATGGTTATTAATATGTAAATATTACTAAGCCAACTACATTGTTATTATACTTTCTTTTACATAGATATTACATATATAATTTTTTATAACCTGTTTAAAATTGAAGTATTTTTTCAGATACGGTGGCACATATCTGTCATCCCAGCATTTACAGAAGCTAAGGCAGGAGGATCACAAATTTGAGTTCCAGGGCTGGGGATATAGCTCAGTGATTCTGCCACCTGCCTCACAAGCACAAGGTCCCAAGTTTGATCCCCGATACAAAAAAAAAAAAATTGAGTTCCACTTCTGCAACTTAGTGAGACCCTTTCTCAAAAGAAAAAATTAAAAAGGGGTTGAGGATATAGCTCAATGGTAGAGCACCATTGGGTCCAAATCTCAGTATAAAAAAAAAAAAAGTTAATGTTCTGTGTAGGACTTACAGTGTCTGAGGACAGGAGAAAATAATGTACCAGTTCAAAGAGAGGGAATAAATTCACTCTTCCACACTTTGGCTGTAGTCAGGCCCTCAGTTGATTTCACCATGCCCAACAACATTGGTGAGGGCTATTTTCGTTAGCTAGTCTACTAATTCAAATGCTCATCTTTTCCAGAAACATTCTTACAGATATATCCAGAAATAATACTTTACCAACACTCTGGGCAACCTTTAGCCATCATGTTGATACATAAAACTAACCACCAAAAGTCTACCCCTTGCCAATGTGGTACACCTGTGGTCTCCTTAATCCATATGTGATCTCCAAATAAAGACAATAATACATTCATAACACCACCTAACATGATACAAACATTCATCTGTGTTGTTTCAACGATAATGTAACACTTCCTTCCCCAGAAGAGGCAATGAAGTCTTTGAGTGATAGTCACTTTTCTCCTGATAGCCTGCAACTAAAATACTACAGTGCAACATTAACACGTAAACATAAAGTAGTACATCTTGGGTTACATGGTAAGGCAGTGATGGTGAACCTTCTAAAGCTTTCAATGATCTGATCAGTCCCCTGAGCATGTGTGCCCTAGGTCTCCCACCACTGTGATAAGGGAATCCGGGAGGAAAGACAGAGATTTCTGCTTAATATATGCATACTGTTAGTCAGCTTTGTGTCACTGCAGTGAACTATCTGAGGCAGCTAATTTAATTTTTTAAAAAGGCTTATTTAGCTCACAGTCTTGGTAGCTGAAATTCCAAATAGGATAGTGTAGGCTCTGGAAAGTCCCCATGTAGATGGCAGGAATGGAAGAATGATCACATAGCAAGACAAGAAAGGGTAGGGACCCAGGCTTGCTTTTTTCTTAAAATAACAACTCACTTTAGATTCAAGAATCACATGAAAAATCACTGAATTCCTTTCAAGAGCAGGGCCTTCAAGGCCTCCTTCTAGGCCCTGTGTCTTAAAGGTTCCATAGCACCTCTCAGTCAATACCACCATCATCCTAAGGACCAAGCCTCCAAGTACACGGGCCTTTGGGAGAAACCTAAAGCATATCCAAGCCACAACACACGCAGACATATTCACCAGAAAAGGAGGGCATACTCATGATAATCACAGTCCTCATTCTTATAACTGGTTATGTGTTTTTATATAGTACTTATAACTATCTTCTACTGCCCATTGTATATTCTCTTTGCCTTCAGCAAGCAACTTAGTTGGTAATGATTCTTCACCTGGGGCCTAGGGGTAAACCTTCTTTCCTGAAGGGTCAGAGTCATTAGCAGTCTTGGCGGAATTGGGTGGTTGTTGTTTCCCATTGATCTTGATCATAGGGTGTGATAATACTAAGAGATACTCTTTCGGATCTCTTGTACTTCAGACATACTCTTCTTTACTTACATGGTAGAATAGTAGTACAACTTCTCCTTGGCTTTCTGGATCAATCACTCCAGCCAACAAAATAACTTCCTTTGCTGGCTGTCTCAGACTTATGAGGACCCCAAGTGGTCAAGTGGCAGTTTTAAATTCCAGTCAACAACATCGTTGTGTTTCCTGGTAGAAGTGTTCCTCCCTCTGGAAATAAAATTTCCATGGAACAGGGAGCAAAAATCGGCTAGTTGGGCATAAGGAGTAACAGCGAGTTCCACTTCCACCCCTCAATTCCTAGATTTGAGAAACTAGACTGTTAAAGAAATACCATTGGATACTGATTTAGAGTACAGAAAGCTTTTTGGTAAGCTTTTCTCAGGCCCTTGAGGTGCTGCCACGTAGGTGTTCTGTAACTGAGCCTTCAAAAGACCTTTCCATGATTCTATCATGCCAACTGCTTCAGAACACTGGGGAACATGAAGTGGGCAGTGAATTCCAGGAACATGGGTACAGCGTTGCCTTCTTGGATATAAAGGGATAAGCAGTGTTATGCGGAATACCACGATGGTGGAAAAGGCCTTGATTCAGAATGTCTGTTCTAGTAAAGCAAAACACTGCCCCTTCCATGATGGAAGCAGCTACATGTAGTCTAGATACTAGTTTATAGCACCTAGGAAATGGTGTCATACTGAGAGTTCAGAGTTGGTTTCTGATGTTGGCAGAGTGGGTATTCAGAAGTGGCTGTAGTCAAGTTATCTTGGTGAGTGAAAGCCTATGTTGCTAGGCCTATGCATAACCTCCATCCCTGCTCTCATGGCCATTTTGCACATGAGACACTGGCAATGACAGCAGTGGCTGGGGAAGAAGCTAACTAGCATCCATGGAATGTGTCAACCAGTCCATGGTTATTAACCTTCCTCTGCTGAGGTTATCTTTGGGTGAGCGTTCACATGGAACACAAATATCTTCACATATTTTGTCCATGCAGAGTTTATCCATATACTTCTTTCCCAAAATTATTTGGGGAAGTGTGGGGGAGGTGTACTCTTGTAGGTCACAGTCCCAGTGACCCACTTCTTCTGCCCAGCCCCACTTTCTAACATCACATTTAGCTTAGTGTCCTCATGATCTAATCACTTTCCGAAAGGTCCACACATGTGAGTTTGGGGGGTCATTCTTGATATAAGCAACAGCATTCTGCCCCAACCCCCAAAAGACTCATGTACATCTCCGTATGCAAAGTGCCTTAATTCATCTCTAAGAGTCTTAATAGTTTTGTCTCTGCTGAAAAGTCCAAGTCCAAAGTTTCCTCTGAGACTCAAAGCAAACTCTTAGCTATGTGTCTCTATAAATATCAAAAATTAAATGCTGACGTAGGGTGGCACAGGATAAACGTTTCCATTCCAATAGGAGGAATAGGGGGATAGGAAAAAAATTGGACTAAAGCAAGAGAAAAACCCAGCAGGGCAAGCATTATATCCCACAGCTCCATGTTTAACACCTGGGGTAAGCTGCAGTGAGATGTAAACTACAAAGGACTTAGGCAGCTGCCCTTATGGAAGTACTGGTTACAGACCATATGGATACTGTCTTGGGTGGCTTTTCTAGCTGCCTGTGACTATCCTTAGCTTATCTTACATATATATTCATGGCATCTCCAGCTTCTGTGGGTCTTCACTCCACTTCTGGATTTACTCTTATAGCAGCTGCCCTCTCAGGCATCCCAGACCTTCTCCTGAAATCTGGATAGAAACCTCTCTGATTACACAACACTTGCATTCTTCATGCCAGTAAAGTCAGCTCCACATGAATGATGCCAAAGTCTGCCACCAGCTCAAACAGTAGCTTGGCCCACTTGGATCATGATTGCAGAGGCCTCTGAGTGCCTGCACAGCTGAGCACTATAAACCGAATCCTGGGGATTCAATTCCCTAGGTGGCCCTTCTTGAGCACAGGAGCTTGGTCTCTTCTCAAATGAAAGCTTCACAGCTTGTACATTTGTGCGTGCCAAGGTTAGAGTCTTGCAGATTTCTGAGGTGCCCTCTAGGTACTTTTCCTATTGTCCTAATGCAAAGAACTTGGTTTCTTTTCAATGCTAAGCTTTTCAGCAAGCAAGCTGTCCCACGACAAAATTTACAGACCCCAGCATTACAGGGACTTCCTTTCTGGCCACCAGCACAATCTTTCAAATTATTAAGCTCTGGTTACTGGTCCTAATTCTCATGGTAGATATACTACCTAAATGCTGCCAGAAGTACTCATGCCATAGTCTTAACATTGGTCTACCTTGAAATTTCCTTGACCAGATTAATTAGTCTACCATGCTTAATCTCAGTCTCCTGAAAAGTCTCAGGGTAAGAGTAAAATGTAGACAAATTATCTACCAAAGCATTACATACATGGTCTTGAGTCCAACTGATAATTGAGTCCTTGTTCTCAACTGAAACCTCCTGAACCTGGTCTTTACTGTCTGCACTTATATGAGCATTCTGGTCTTCTGGGGCCAACCAGAATTTCCTGTTAATACTGGTTTACATTATTCTAGGGTCTTCCTAGAAGGGATTTCCAAACTTTTCCAAACTCTTTCTATAAACTAGTTCTAGAGGCTTCTAAACCACATGGTCAGTAGTCGCAGTAATGACCCCACTTCTCTGGTGCCAAACTCTGTCTTGGCCAGTCACTTTCTCATTGCTGGGACAAAATACCTGACACCACAACTTAAAGGTCTATTTTGGCTAATGTTTCAATAGTTTCTCTGTTTGCTTCTCTTCCACATTAACTGCTGTTATGGCTTATATCTAGATGTTACCCCCAAAGTCTTATGCATTCATAGGTAGGGCTTTTGGGAGTGATGATGGGTGTATGATACTGGATAAGTCTGCTAATTGATTTATCATAGTTCTGGGTATGAATGATGGACCCACTGAAGAGTGAAGACACACCCTGGGTGTGGTTGGCACCAGCCAATAGGTTTATAGCCCAGATGGACTAAAAAGGGAAAGAAGAGGGAAGCCTTGCTGCCTCCTACCTGCCATGCCATGAACATTTTTCCTCTTCCGTGCCCCTTTGCAGCATTGCTCTGCCTCAGAACCAGCCGACTACAGACTAAAACCTCTACAAACTGTGAGCTAAAATAAACCTCTCCTCCTTTAACTAGTCAGGGTCTGGTATGTTGTCCTAGGAAGAAGAAAGTAACTAAGACCACTGCAATGTCATTCAAGGCAGTAATTCTATCCTTTTTAGTTATAGTTATAAGCACCTTGCCCCATACCTACGTGCTCAGTGAATTAAGAAAGGTTATTTATACCTCATGGTAATTTACCAATTCTAACAGTATCAGATTGTTAATTCTCAGGTACAATTTTTGGCGTGTGTGTGTGTGTGTGTGTGTGTGTGTGTGTGTACATCTATTACCCGTGTGGCCCACTGTAATTAGTCAGCAGAACAATTGGAGATATTGCCAGGATTTGTCACCATACTGAGTGAACCTTTTTAAAAAACAAGGTATGAAACTGTCATTCAAGAAGTAACTAGCATTTTCTGAGTTGGTAATTTTTTGTACCATAAAAGAAATTCCTTGGAAATTACACAAAAGGCATGTTCCATAAAATTCCACTACGGTTTATAAACTATTTTAAGATTTGGATTTTTTTGAATTTTAAAGCTGAGCTTTACGTGCAAACTTTTTAAAATAAAGTACCAGGGCTGGGGATTTAGCTCAGTGGTTCTGCCACCTGCTTCCCAGGCATAAGGACCCAAGTTCAATCCCCCGTACCAAAAATAAATAAATAAATAATAAAATAAAAATAAAGTACCAGTTTATCAGTTTGTTATCTGGAGTATAAGTTTTCCTCCTAATTGTTGTGTATATGATAGGCTTCTGCCCCAGGATGGCAAAATGGTTGGTTAATATTCTGGAATGCTGTAAAAATAAAATGAAATTTCTCTTGTTATTCTCTTCAAAGTCAAAAGTATTCTGAAATTACATCATTAAGACATTGTTTACATTTACAAATTTGCCATATTGTCAAGATCTAGCCTTTTAAAAATTATTTAACCAACTCCTCATTAGAACTTTATGAATTACAAAAAAGTCACAGTTTCCAACATGTCAAAACACCATATGCAGTTAGAATCCTATATGAACTGCTACTTTGGAGATACTTAAGTATACAACCGTAAATTTTAATCTCAATAAAATATACAATACAGTTCATAAAGCCAATTTGTTAGAAGTCTTTCTATAGAATCCTTGTCTTCAAAAGGTTGTACTGTTTCAAGGAAGCTTTCATATGATATCCAGAGGAGCTAAGAAAACATTTCCTTTGAATTCAGATATCCCCTCTCTTTCTTGAGATATCATATCTGGATTTTTCCTGTTGAGGTATATATTATGCCTTATATGTAAATGTGCCCCCGTGCCTCATGTGCTAATAAGTGGTGCTTTTGGGATCGTATGTGACAGTGGATCATAGATAGGTGTATGATACTGAATTTGTCCACTGACGAGTTTATAGCTGGATGGCATGGTGGGGGAAAAGCCTGGTAGGAAGAGGTGGGGTCACTACAGCATGGCCTGGAAGGACACATATACTTCCTACCTTGATGGTTTCTCCTTCCTGCCCGCCATGCCGGGAGCTCTTTCTCCTTTGCCGTGCCCCTCTGCCATGCCATCTGCCTTGGAGCCAGCGGACTGTGAGTCAAAATAAGCCTCTCCTCCTTTAAGTTGTGAGTGTTGCATATATTGTGTCGCAGCAATGAGAAAGTAACTAAGAATAAAGGCAACTGTTTTGATGGGAAATTCTTTGAATAAAAATTCAGGTAATATGGGCTGTACTTCCATCTCAGCCCTCCAACCCTGCTCTTGTTTAATTCCAGAGCAGTACTTTGAGAGTGAGAGAATATATTCTTGGAGATCTGGAACTGCCTAATAGGAGAACCTAACCTATTTGAGGGAGTAAGAAATAATGGTCCTGGAAGGCATCCTTGGGGAATATATATTTAACGAGATATAGGTTTGCCTAATTCTTAATAAATTACAGATATTTTAATTTTGTTTCTGAAAACTGTATTCACTTTTTAGAATTTTAAGTACAAATCCCTTCCCTGTAAATATAAAAGCACTCTTTGTATTTTTTCTCTTTTACATAATAGTTTTACAAGATAATACATTTTTACAATCAGCCCATGTGGATACAACTTTGCAACTTGGCAGAAACAAAATTTAAACTGGAACTGATCGTGCTGGTTGGGCGCATCTCAGACAGCTTTAGCAAATGCATTCAGGCTCCCAGCTGGCTCCCTTCATGACCCAAGCCCTGTCCTCCTGTCCTCTGGGACAGGGCTGGGTGACGCAGGTGATGGCTGTCCTTTCTCAGCCTTCTGCAAGGAGGTAGAGTGGGAGACTGACCTGGCTGATGGGTGTATACACACACACCTAGATTCAGTTACAGCAGTGACATTTGGACGTGCAACAGAAAATCTTAACAGTAAACACAATCTGTAAGTCATAGCCAATTTTAAATAGCAAAGTTTAACAATAAGGTTACTTGTCTTTTAATTAAAAATAAACAGTGAAACATCTGTATTAGTTCATCTTTAGTGCCAATCATAGGTGTGGGATTTAGCCAGGACTGCACTTTTTAAAAGTAATACATGCTGGGCATTTAGCTCAGCGGTTCGGTGGCCTGCCTTGCAAGCACAAGGACCCGAGTTCAATCCACGGTACCAAAAAAAAAAAAAAAAAGTAATACATACTTTTGCTTATCTTACAAAAAAGGGACATATCCCATAAAATCCTAGATGCTAAAAAGCATTTTTAATATAGCAGACAATAAGACAGAAATAAAATGTAACAATGCACGCTTATAGAAAAAAATGTTTTAAAAAAGTTAAGATAATAATGTCAACAAGATTCAAAACACACTTTTTCCATTAAGAGTAGAGTTCATAGTCATTAGAGATAATTTTAAAAATATAGAAAATATTGCAGAATTGATAATGGTGGCCAACCAGGTGCAAATATATAGGCTGAGTGTTCTGAATCTGTGCTGAAGAAAAGCAGTTACCCCGAGGCAGGGGTGAAAGAGCAAATCTGATATAGGAGGATAAATAAAAAATCCAACCGGATTAAAACCCAGTGGTTGGAGAGTGGGTGAAGGGAACCTACCACTCCCGGATCACAGTACCCCGTGCCCCAGCCCAGACCCAGCACACACACCAGTGTGGGAAATGACAGGACTGAGGGAGGGTGTGTCAGCCTTTCAGCAGTGGCCTGGCAGACTGAACACACTGGCAGTCACACTGTCCTGCTCACTGAGTGCCGTGACGTGAGACATTTCCAACTTGGGGACTCGAAGCTGAAGACAGGCAGGAAGTAGCCAGCAGTGGGACTTCCTTTGCCTTTTTATTCCATTCAGGCTATGAGACTATTTGTTGGTGCTACCCACATCCATGGTGGGCTTTCCAATTATCTACACCTAGAAAAATGCTAAACCATTCAGTGCACTCATTTAGTTATCACACACCAGGATCCAGCCACTCTCAAAAGCCCCACCTATGAGCCCGTGAGGCTTTGAGGGAGGCATCTAGATATAATCCATAACGGGAGATTAACAAGCCAGGGGGAAGCTCTGGCCAGTGAGGGTTGGAAGCCCTTCTGTTCTCTGTGAAGCTGACTCGGTGGATAATTTAAAGATATATTCTACATGGCCTACTTGGAGGGGTCAGTGAAATTTAGCTTCAGAGGTGTTTAGTAGTGGTAGCTTTAACACTACATTTCCAGGGAGTAGAGGGTACAATTCAGTGGAGAGCACCTGCCTAAAATGTGCAAGGCCCTGAGCTCAGTCCCTAGTCCCACAAAAACAAAAAATGACAAGTAGATCAATCAGATTTCCTTCCTTCCCTGTTACATTTCCCCCATCGACTAATTAATCACACTTAGGGCCACTCAAGTGAAAAAATAAAAGCAAAAACAAAAAAATTCAACTTTATGATGTTTCTAAGATACATATTGAAAATGAGGATATAAAAAGCTGAAGCGGAAGGAGAAAAATGTAAACACATACATTCACTTTCTTAAAAAAATCTTGTTTCACTGTACACAGAGAGGAGATAAGAATGGGCTGGGGATTAGGCTCAGTGGTTCTGCCGCCTGCCGCACAAGCACAAAGGCCCAAGTTTGATCCCAGGTACCACTAAAACAAAAAAAAAAAAAAAAAAAAAAAGAAGAAGAAGAAGAAGAATGGACTGAGGTTCAAAGATAGAAACAAATACAAGAATGAGTCAAAGACAAGGGATTATTTATTTAGTGGTCAGAGTCACAGACGGCTAAAGAAGAGAATGAAGAGTGATGAGCCTAGGATAGGAGTTCAGGGTCTGTTTCTCACACTGCTTGTGTGTGTGTGTGTGTGTGTGTGCTCGCGTGCGGGTGTGTAAAATAACAAACATTTTTTGCATTTTTACCATAACTATTAATTGATCAAGACAGCAGCATCAAAATAACCCTTTTAAATGCTTTGGTCCTGACAAGCATCTTGGAGGCACTTGGATGCCGAAAACATGAGTGAGTGTTATCTAGACAGAGCAGAGTGGGCAGTGGATGGAGAAGGAACTGCACAAGCACAGACACAGGTGCGCACTGTGGGCAGGAAGTGTGTCCCGGGAGATGGCAGAGTTCAGCCGCTAGAGGAAGACACGGAGGGAACTGAGGCCAGGGAACAGTGCTAAAGACAGGCACCCAGGCTTTTGTATGCCATGTTAGAGCCCAAGAGTTAATGCTGTTTGTAATGAAGAGCCCTGCAAAGTCTCTAAGGAAAAGACACGGTCGTGCATAACCATGGAGATGGGAAGAAAAGCCAGCTACTAGGGGTGCAGGCACTGAATAATGTTAAAATGTGTGTATTTGCACTTTAAAAGATTGGAAATGAATTATTACCATTCATTTATTTCATTCCCTTTAAAGTTGATTGTCAAAACAACTAATTGCTTGCTTGTCATTCTGATTTATCCGTCCATGTCTTGTTGATTACTACGAGTCAAGAAAACATGCTATGAAAAAAACAGACAGATCTTGACTTACTAAGCTGTGAACAGTCCCGTAAGAAACTAATGGCTAACTAACTGCTCATTTTGTTATTAGCCATTTAGTTCTACACACTCAGGTTTGCTTGCTGCTGGCTAAATCAAAGGAGGCCATTAATTTTGGTTTAAAAAAGAAAAAAATGATCTATTTAAAGCTAGCTTCAAGGAGTGGAGGGGCCTTATCACCCACATCCTGTCTCACCATGGACAGGCATGTCAGGGCCTTTCATAGCAAGGAACAAAGGAGAGAGGTAATGCAACGAGATAACAGATGTGTTCAGGCTTGTTCCATCCCTTCCTGGACCACCAGCTCCCTCCTTTTTCTGATGGAAATAAAACTGGATTTTTCCAACACCTGCACATTAACTAGGCTGAGGATGTTTGGAGAAGCCACTTCTAAGGGAAAGAAAATCTATCTTTCAAAGTTCCAATTTGCCATGCCAGTTATAATTTTATACTTTCCATCAGTATATCTTAACTGTAACAGAAAACAGAACTTACATCTTGAAAGAGGTTAATTTCTGACAAATAAAAGAAGACTTACTTATTTACTGTTATACTTTTAGGAAATCCCTTCATCTTCAAGAATTAAAGTATCCAATAGAGCTCAGACAGAATTTTAAAGCATGGCTTCCACGTAGCTGTTCAAGAAGCACCTTAATGGATAATCCCTTCACAAATAATGAGATTTATAGAAGATATGAAGAATGCTCAATAAGAATTCTACGGAAAGGTTTATAGTTCTAGAGATGGAGCACAAATTCAAAAATCTGCTAAAATGGCTAATTCAGACTCAAATGGATAATATAAATGTATTTATTTATCAGCTTAAAATTCTATCAATTAATTATACCTTATTCACAGCCCTTAAGAAAGAAAGGTAGCCATTATTTGGTCTATAACAACGTTTCCACCTACCAGCGAGGGTACCTCTGCCTGCCATAGCAACTCATCAGAATCTGCGTATTCTGGATCGTACACCCATATAGACACAACCTATAAAAGAAAGTGCACAGTATTTGGATTTCTTTACATTTTGTACAAATTTCATCTTTAATTGTGGCAAAACAGTCACCAAAATGTTTTAATTAATTGAAAAAATTTGACAACTCCATTGACAAATCAAAAGCAATATTTGTAAGTTTGAATAATTAAAACAAGCCTAAGACCTAGGACGGGTTAAAAGCTAGCCCTCTAAACTCTTCAGTAACTAATGTTAAAATCTCATACAGATGCTTGCACGTCTTTCTTTATACTCATAAATAGGCACAGCAGCCCCCCACGCTCACACTGACACACTTTTTATACACAAAAAATCATATGTTCTTTGTGACTTATTTTTGCCATTTGACACAACTTGGTCATTTTAGTAGCTATGGGGTCTATTTTCTTTCTTGTTTATCTTTTCTTGGATAGATAATTTATTTGTACAGTTAAAAGAAAATTTAAAAACTACAGCAAAAACTGTCCCTGACCCTGTACTCCTTCACTGTTGCCACAAGTCCAGCCGTACAACACAGGCACTGGTTACTAAGTTCGTTTATATTTCGGTGCCATCATAAAGCTCATATTCAAATGCTCACATACCACACAAATACTCTTCTGAACCTTAAATTCTTCACTTATTAGAGATCTTTATATATTCTCACTAATTTCCCAGTTCGAGATTACTCCAAATTTTGAAGGAATCCTGTTTTATTCAGCCAGCACTTGCTTCAGTTCTTAATGTTAAGAGACGTCTTCCACGTTTTCTTTGTTGCTCCTGGAGTCATTGTTTTTAGATATTCAACCCGTTTCAAATGTATTCTAGTGCACTATACGAGGTATGACTCTAATCATTTTTAAAATCACAGGGATACTGTTACTGTGGATTACTGGGCCCGGGGGATGGGTTCCCAGGTTCCTGTGTGCGATGAACGAAGAACGGGCATGGCGCTCAGAGGCAAAGGAAACAGCAGCAAAGGTTATTAAGGCCATCGTCTGCTCTGAGTGAGTGAGCCAGGGCTGCGAAAGCAGTGTGAGGAGCACTAGGGCACAGGGTGTAGGGGTTTCAACGTTGCACCCACTTTAGGGCGCCTCCCATCGGAGTCTTCCAGGGCATGGTTGACAGGATGCTGAGTCATGTCAGCTGTGTCTGTTGCACGTATCTTTCCTCATAATCACTGTTGTAATTATACGTATGCGATACAGTCCTTAAGCATGAACCTTCACTGACCTCCGGGTCATTACCGGGGTAACGCCCACTGCTCTTGGTGACGCCACTGTGCATTAGGACTGCATGTAATCCATAGCTGTCATTGGTTGGCCTGGTGCTCCATTCTTCTAGTGACGATTTCAGAGGTGTCTATTAGGGAGTGCTGATTTTGCAAAGTCCACCGCTGGAACAATCAAACTCCAAGACAGTAGCAGCAAAGCACTTCAAATGAATGGTTATAACCTCAGGCATTTTGTCAAACAGAAGACTTCAGTGTAACAATGGCAATTTTCACAGAAATATTTATCTTTTCCTACAATCCTCTCCACCGAACCAAACTGTGAAACTGACCATCTCAAAGTCTTCATTTTGTTTTTGGCTCTGCAGAAATTTCAGAACTGAATATATCTTTCCACTGTATATCTAATCATTGTCTATTCCAGAGTATTAAAGCTTTTTTTAACGTAAGTCCCTTTCATACTCTTTAAAATTACTGAGAATCCTACAAGGCTTTGCTTTATGTGGGTTATATACATAATATGTAACAAATTAAAACTAAGAAAATTTAAAGATATGTGTATGTATTTACTTATTTTAAAACTATAATAAACATTATAGATTAACCAACACATTTTATGCAAAACTACCCATATTTTTCAAAATTTAAAAAAATTGAACATTTTCAAAATCTTTTTAGTATCTGTAATAATAGAAGGAACTCTGTTCCTGCTGTTTGGTGTATGTTTTTGGTGGAAGCATATGGGAAAAAACTCCATCCTCACATAGATGCATGACTGGAAAAGGTAGACCTCATGGATTCCCTCCAAATAGATCTTAGGGAGCCCTGTGCATCCTTAAAACATACCTCAGGTACCCTTATTCTAAGCAAATTTTATTGCAAAATTACCCTAGACAATTCCTTATCTGATATATATTGAAAATAAGAGGGAAATAATCTATGAATGGTATATAAAACTGAAAAATATTTTACCTGGGTTAAATTTTCAAATATATTTCTGTTGGGAAAAAGAGGAAACACATTTTAATAAACATGCGGGGGATTTAGCTCAGGGGCACAGCACCTGCCTTGCAAGTGCAAGGTCTCGAGTTTGATACCCAGTACCAAAACATTTTAATAAACAGCACGTTGTATATTAATTTGAATGTTCTGCTTTCAATATATGTTTTAAACCATTGAATGTTCTTTTTATTCTCTATTATACACATATAAACAATTAGAGGCTGAATGTAGAAATAAAAACAAAATTTATGTGTCTATTTACTTATCAATATATTTATTGACTATAATTTGTCATTGCAGAAGACTGCAGGGCTCAAGTCTGCAATCTCCCTTAACAATATTTCAAGTTCACATAATCAAAGTTGCATAATTAATTCTCTCTAAAAATTTGATATTTTCATTTCACATAAAAGCCTGTAGTGTTGACACATTGCAACTTGTGTCAAATATAAAGCCACTGTCTAGCACTACAAATCCTTCATTCACCAAGTCTGAAAGGAAAAATATTCACTTGCATGTTTACTTGCATCCTTTTTAGAAAGTAGGGCTTTGCACTTTAAGGTCAGCTATACATATTCATTATATAATCTCTAAAAGTGAATATACCTCAGGACTATTTTCTCCCATTTATCAATTGCTATATAATTCCTAACACATTGTATATACACACAAAAATGGAAATAAATTGAAAATCACCACATGAGTATGCAGTGAGTTTCTGAATATACTATGTCATATGCTCAGCCCAATGTGTTAAAATGCTACTGAAAATAGGCACTATCACTTTTGTGTGGTGCTGGGGACTGAACTCAGAGCCTTGTCCATTCTTCTCAAGCATTCTACCTCTGAACACCCTACCCGCCAAGCAAAGTAAATCTTGGCCGGTAAATTATACTCCCTATGAACATAATTCAATAAAGTGATAATTCACGAGTGATAAAAACAGTCCCTGGCACCAAGCCTGATCTGACTGGTCTTGTGCTATGCTACCTGTCAGGGGCACGGAAGAAAAGAAGTGGGCTACTGAATGATTCACCAGTGCGTCTGCAAAGGAAAATATGAATGCCAAAGGAGAAATCTGTAAGTAATAAAAAAAAAAACCTTGTTGTTGATACTGTAACCTTGTAGAGAAAGTGTCAGGACCAGTCGATGAGATGATCCTGATTCCCATGGAATCCATGGAATGTGTCTACATCAGTTTGCTCAGATTTTTGAGTAGGTGCTCAGACTGAACTGTAGAAGAAGGCAAAGGAGAGAGCCCTGGCCTCAACTGACATTTAATGTAGGGACACATGACAAAAACAAAACAAACAAAAGAAAAAACAAAAAGACAGAGAAAGAATCATTCTAGAAATAGAAAACTTTGGTATTAGATGAATAAAAGAATGAAAGCATCTCAAGGAGAAATGAGCGATCTACAACATTAAGGTGGTATAGAAATCAAGTATCAAGAGGACCAACACAAAAAGTCCCATCTCGCTTGGCAGTTAATCTGCCTTTCTGGATTATTCATCTTTCTTATTTGGTATTCTAATCTGTTAGGGAGGGAGGGGAAAGAAATGGAGAAGGGAAAGGGAGAGAAGGGGAGAGAGACAGACAGACAGACAGACAGAGTTTAGTCGCTCACATGGTCCTTGTTCTTGCTGCTGTCTTCCCCAGTGCCAAATCATTGGTTTGGGGGCAAACAGAGTCAATGGATTTAGAGAGCCCAAGGAAGAGGCTATGCTCACCAGCACTGTCCTCTGTATTATTTATTTGGGACATTTTCAGAAATTTGTCTCTGAACTTGAGTTTTATAAACACTTATTTGTAAATAAATGAGTGTGACAAGGCAATGGAGCATGTGTTGGGGACTCGGGGCTTTGGCTCCTGCACAGTTCCAACTCCTGCTTCCTCTATTCCTCCCTGGGACATGTCTTTGCTACTCATTCCTCCAAGCTCTGGCACCTTTGGTCCTCACCGGCCATCCCCTTCCACCTGTTCCCAAAATGGCTTCTTCCTTGGTTAAGGGCCTAGGCCAAGTGTGGGAATGGTCAGTATTAGGCATGTGTACCTAGAGCCTTCTTGGAGTAAGACCAGAAAGCAGCTGTCCCATTCCCGGCTGGCAGCATCATGATGTGGCTCCTGGAGTCCTGAACTTGGCAGGACTTGAGAGCCTCTTGCCCATCTCCAATCCACGTGTCTAGCACATGTAACTGCAGAGGTTGTAGTACCTTGGGGGCTCCCCATAAGCCATAAATTAAGGTAGCAGACTCACAGAAAAAGAAGATATCGGATTGAGTTTTCTAGACTCCTCCACTGACTGGCGATGTGATGGATTTACACATGATGTACAGAGAAAAAAGGCTAGTAAAAGCCATCAGTCGGTGGGCCATGTACATGCTGAATCACAGGTCTGTACTGGGCCCATGAATATTGCCACATCTGAGGAAGGCTGACTTTATATTGTAAATAAAAAGCATTACAGCAGATAGTGACAGTGAGTAACCAAAGAACAAGATTTGTATTTAATACCTTTAACATTATTTTCTTCCAATTTTTGAACAAAAGTTCCCGCACTTTTATTTTCCATCGGTACCCAAAATTATGTAGCCAATTCTGAATGAAATGATGTAAAAGTGGCAGATAGTGTGATAGACTTTAGGAATTTAAAATTTTAGATACAAATGAAATTATAGCTACAATAAAAATTACAAAACATTCCAGAAAGAAATTAAGAGTACACACACACAAATGAAGACATTCCATATTCATGGACTGGAAGAATTGATATTGTTAAAATGTCCATCCTACTCTAAGTGATTTATAGACTCAATGCAATCTCCATCAAAATACCAATGGCATTCTTCACAGAAATAGAAAAAAAAATCCTAAAATTCACTTAAACCCACAAAAGACCCCTAGAAACCAAGGCTATTTTGAACAAAATGAACAAAGGTAGAGGCATTCACAATACTTGGCTTCACATCCAAATGGAGGCCTGGGTCTAGATAAGTTCTCTGATGACTTATACCAATATTTGGGGAAAAAACTCATACCAATTCTCTGTAACATCTTTCAGAAAATAGAAAAAAGAATATTTTCCAACTCATCCTATGAAACAAAATTATTCATATCAAAACCAAAGACATTACAACAAAATATAGACTTAGACACAAAAATCTTCAAAAAATATTTTCAAATCACATCTAAAAATGTACAAAAATAATTAGATATCATGTCCAAGTGTGACTAATCACAGGCATGCAAAGCTTGTTCAATATAAAAACAATTAATGTAATGTATCATATCAACATGCTAAAAAATCGTGTTGACAGAAGCAGAAAAGTATTTGATCCATTCATAAAAAACACTCTTAGCAAACTGTGAATAGAGACATAACTTTGTCAAATTGGTTTTTAAAATCTACAAAAACTTTCAGGAAGCTGAAGGAAAGATCAGAAAGAAGGCAGGGATGGCTCTTCTCAACACTCTTTTTCAACGAGAGACTAAGAGGTACTGTTTGGGGAAGAAAAAATAAAACTACTTTCATTTGCAGATGATTGTCTGTAAAATAAATGACTAAAATCAAACAAATCTTCTGGACTAACAAGCAACCATATACATAGTAGGGTTGCAGGACACATGGTTAATATACAAAAGTCAATTTCTTTCCTATACACCATTAATGAGAAATGCAATTTCAAATTAAAAACTTGGTATCATTTACATTTTGACTACAAAAAAATATGTAGGTAAAAATCTCAAATCATATATACAAGAGCTATGCACAGACAACTGGAAAACTGACAAAATAAATCAAAGAAGTAAATAAGTGGATAGATGTTCCATGTACATAGATAGAAGAAGTCAATATTGTCAAGATGTCAGTCGTTCCAAACTATTGATACATTCAATGCAGTCCCAATAAAAATCCCAAGTTATTTTGTAAATATTGATAAGCTGATTCTAAAGTTCATATGCAGAGGTAAAAAGACCCCAATTAGTCAACACAGTGTTAAAGGAGAAGGACCCTGTCAACACCAGGCGGGCTTGCAAGAACATGGAGCATCAGGGACACTGCTCCTGAGGACACAAAATAACACAGATGCTGGTGGGCTTTCATAAAACTAAATAAACACCATACCATCCAGCGATAAGTAGCACTCCTTGGTTTTTCTTCAAAGGAGATGAAAACTTACGCCCAAGCAAAAAACTGAAAGGAGATGTTGACAGCAGTTTTCTTTATAATTACCAAAACTTGGAAGCAAGTCCTCCAAATGACTGAACTCATCCAAGCTCACATTTCCTCTTCTATTAAATATATATATAACAATACATGTGTGATTGTCGTAAAAATGAGAAAGGTGATGTAAAAGTGTGAATACATAGAGACACGGGATGTGTTTAAAAGGTTGGTGAATAAAACCAAGCTTGTCTGAAAACCATAATATAGATAACTCATTTGTGATTAATTAAAAGTTGAAGCCAAATACCCTAAAAGTATGAATTATCTTTGTATTTCATACTGTGTTACTTACATAACTGTGTAATACCACAGGAAACAAATGTAAGTAGTGTCCACAGGCAAATAGCGTTCTTCTTCTCCTTTCTAAAAGAAAAAAATATTGTGTAATATACTCAGTTAATTTTAAAATACATAGATGTATGGACTGCTATGGTCGAGATGCAAAACATCCCCCTAATTTCTCATGCATGTGGAAGGTTATTGTGTCATGGAGGTGCTGTACTTGTCAGTGTGTTCATCCGCTCCATTTCGTATTATTCGTGGGTTTTGCCTTTTTCTTTTAGGAAGAGGAATGCTATTTGTGTGGACACTTCTCACAGCTGGTTTCTATGTATTACACAATTATGTAAGTACGCAGTATTCTTTCAGCAATGAGGAGCTGAGTATACTGTTATGAGGTGGGCCTGGTTGGAGGTAAGACACTGGGATGTCACCTGGAAGGGTGTGTTCTTATTCCTGGCTCCTCCCTTCTCTCTGTGCTTCTCCCTGCCATGTGTTGAGCTTCTTTTCTTCTGTCACTCCTCTCCCACCCTATTTCTGCTGTGGAGCCAGCCAATCCTATAGACTAACTCTGTGAGTCAAAATAAAACTCTCCTCTTTTAAGTTTTGGGTGTTGGGTATTGTGTCCCAGCCACAGAAAATGGCTAAGACACAGACATAGGTATAAAAGTCACTGAGGAACTGTTACTTGGCTGAGATTTGAGAAAAAGGAATAGATAAATTTCAAAGTAGAATTAATAAATATACATATAAAACTAATTCAGTTCTTTAGCTATTCTCAGTAAGAATTTGCTATCAGGAGTGATACATTTAGAAGACATTTGATAGCTTGCTTTCCTTATTATTTCTGTTATATTTTTCTTCCTCATTGATTGACAACTTAATTCCCGTCCAGTGGTTCTCAACTGGAGTAATTTTCTCCCCAGAAGACATGATGTGGCACTGCCTGGAAATGATTTTGGTTGTTGTAACTAAGTGCTTTCAAATATATTTCAAAACTTTGATGTTCAAATTCAGGTTGCAGGATCTGGTGACACTCAGGCACCCAAATGATAAAGATATTCCTACCTATGTGTGTATCTGTGTGCATATTTCTACACATTACACAATTATATGGCTTTCAATGTAAACAAAAGGAATAAAGGATCTTTATTTCTTTATGAATTCTTGAAACTTGCAGGTACTCATAGACTCAAAAGACAAATTCAATCTTTTTTTTAACTCTATTGAGATTTAAAAAGGAGTTACTATTCATCTGTCTTCTTTCACACACTCTACCTGTGCCCTGAAAATAAAGATAATTAAAGAGAAGACACAAGTCTCCAAAGTAGAGGCAGGAGTACTCACAGGGAGTCTCTGTAGCAGTAGCTTTAGATACATTTGTATGGGAAATTCAGTCATCAGTTATGTAGTCCGTAGTTTGTTACTAACCATTACAATACTAATGCCTCAAAATCCTTTACATTGTGTTTGTCTTTGCTGGGCAAACTAGAGAAGACCCAGCATCACTGTTAGTCTTTGCATTTACATATGCTTTCTTGAATCAAAGAAAATATAATGGAGTACAAAAATCTGCTAAAAATTGCTCTGGTTTTTGTGTCACAGGAATCTATGATGTGAGACCCATTTATTTGAGAGTACTATTTTCATTGAATTAGGGGCTATGAACTTCCACATATTTATCTGTGAAAAAGCTAAGGTAGAGGTTTGGGGTGTAGCTCAGTGGTACACTACTTGTCTAACATGTGCGCTTCCCAGGGTTCAGTCTTTAGCACTGCAAATGAATGAAGGAACGAATGAGAATGATAAATAATGAATAAAAATTTTAAAACTAAGATAAAAATCAGTTTTTACTTTATAATTTGACAAGAAATATACCTAAAAGTTAATGACATGCTGACAAACAATTTAAAATAGACTGTCATTTGGAGTTACAGTTAATACAATTTAAAGCAGATTAAATTAAGTTGAAAAAAGCTCAAAAGAAAACAAAAGAAGATGAAACAGATATTATTACTCAAGATTCAATAAGTTATCATTAAAATCAACTTACCGGGCCTGTAACAATTGGTTTTACAGCATGAACACCCTGAGAACAATGCATTTCTGTCTTGGGTGATCTAGCATTTGAAAAAAACAGGAAAAAAGAAATAACTACAGATGCATATGAGATTAATGAAAATCCCCCCACTATTTTTTAACCTAAAATCTTTAATTATTGTATGCCAATATGAGAAAGTTTTAAAGGTGGAAATACTTTACTTATATCCTCAGAATAACTTTGTCTCTGTTTTCAGATCTATTTTATGGATGGAAGGAAATGTATTTTAAATCACGGCCTTGAATCTGGATGTCCACTTTACATAGATGCTTTTTTACATGTAAATAAATAAATACATTAATATTGATAGTTTAAAAGCTTACTTTTTATCTTGGATAGAACAGGTTTCTGGCACTTGCCACTCTGAAAATAATGCTCCTTCATACTCTAACTTGATCTAAAAAACAGTGACAGAATTCAAATGAAAAATTATTTCAAAATATCCACCTCAATGTTCAGGTGTATGGTTCAAATTTTGGGTCCTTATTATTTAAAGAAAAGACAACTAAATTTTAATTCTTTGAAAGTAACATGACAAAAGAAAAGAAGCTTATTGAAACATTTCAGTACTCTTTCTAAAAATCTCTGGGGGTTTAGTTCAGTGGGAGAATGCTGGCCTTACATATATGAGGCCCTGAGTTTGATCCCTAGAACTGCCAAACAAACAAAATCTACCTATACACTTAAAATTGGGAGTTGGAGATTGAACCCCAAGCCTTGCTAGCACAACTCTACCAACGAAATACAACCCAACCCCCATTTTACTTAAAAAAATAATCAGACATCTGGGAATATGGTGGAGTGGTAAACAACAACTAGTCAACTGATCCAGGATTTGGAATCTAGACACTGGAAAATAACAACGCGGGGAAGAAAAGGAGAGAAGTGGTTCAGGACCAAGGAAGGATCTGAAGGGAAAAGTGGAGCCCACAGAGAAAATGAAGAGACAGGCTAAACTGCAGAAAAAGCAGAGCTCAAACTGTACTTTCTCCCCAGCTCCTGGCTCATGGCATGAGAGAGGAAGACTGAATCTAGAGAGACACAGGGAAGGCAGGTGACTCAGGAGGCCTCCAGGGAGAAACACATCAGTGGAACCGAACAGAAGATGTTGTGTGCTACAACACACAAGAGCTGGTGACTCCAGTCCAAGTGACTACCATGTCCACTAGAGAGGATCTTTGGCTGAATGCCATTCCAGAAAGGGGCCAAGTGAACCTGGGATTTGGGACTCAGAACAGCATGGGTTGGATTCATCTCAGGGCTCTCAGTGTTGAAATCCCTCAGTGACTGTATGAGGGACCACTGTGGAAAAGTCTATGATCAGGGATCTGTGGTCAGGCCAGCAACAGACACCTAGACTGTTGTAAGCTAAATAATTTAGGCTCTGGCTCCACAACCAGAGGCCAGGGTGAGCCTGAACTTCTGTGGAGTTGAAAGCACCAGAATCAGCAACCCGCCCTAATCTTACTGCAGGCTTGCTGGGATTATGCAGCATGAATCAGGGCCCTGATGGCCTCCTTGGTCTACCAGTGACAGCTGAGTCACACCTTGAATTGGGTATTATCAGAAATGTGTAGATCCCAGTAGCTGACCACAGGCTTGAAATCACAGAGAAAATTATTTTTGTCCATTTGCTTTTTCTATTTCTTGATTGTTTTTCTTTTCTTTCAGGAGTGTGATATTGTATTTAGTTTTGTTTTTTCTTGTTTTTATTTTTTCCTTCCTATTTTTCCTCCTATCTTCTTCACAAGTTTCCCAAAGCTTGGGTAATCTTCCTTTGTCCTTCAGTCTTGCTTCTAATCTATTTCTGTTTTTCCCCTTGACCATTTTAAATTGTCTTCTCTTAAGGTAAAATCACTCTACTGAGTGAATATTTACTGTATATAATTTCCTGATTTCTTTTAGATTTTGTCATATAACTATAAATCTTGTACCTATGGTAAAAGGTGGCAAATTAATACTTATCACAGTTAGTCATTTTCTAGGCTTACTTGATACTATTGTTATTATTACTGATTGTATTACTTTTGCCATAATAATTGTGCTCAGTTTTGCTTTCTTGTATGCCAATACTGATTGTCTGGGGGTTATAATATCATAGTGCAGTACCAGAGAACTTGGTGCTAGGTCAAATAGACAGCAACTTTAATGCTTAATAAATAGAAGAGGCAGGAAATTGGGACAGAGTCAAAAGCCAAAAGCTAGTTACACTTAGAAGACAACTCTGAAAAGTACATACTTCCTAAGGAGGTCTTGATACTAGTAATAAAACTATTTATCATAAGTAATTTACAAGCATTAATGTAGAAAATAAAATTTAAAATATGGAAAATGAGAAGTCATGGAATGAAGATGTAACTGCAGATCTCTGCTCATCTCAGGCAAATCCAGGGGGCACTGAGGTGGAAGAAATCAAAAGTCACCCTGCTGAACTTTCTGGGTAGCAGAAGTAACAAAGCAGATGAATGGGTCTCTAGAAAAAAATCAGAAATAATTTTACATTTAACTAAGATGATGACCATATGCAATACGGTTAGTGAATCTGGAGTACATACAATGAAAAACAGAGGAGCTTATGAAAATGATAGAAACCATGATTGTCCAACATAGGAAAGAACTGGATTCAATAAAACAGATATCCAGGAGATTAAAAATTCTATTGAAAGAATGCATAGAAGAATGAACAAATGTGAGTATGGAATATCAGTTCTAGAGGACAGGTTTGTGGTTAGTGATCATCAAATGAAAGACTTCTTAAGAATAGCAAGGGACCATGAAATAAAATCATCCAACAGCTATTAGATAATGCAATGAAGAATAACAAAGTGGATTGAAAACAACAACAACAACAGCAAAACCGGAAGAGAATACAAAAGACATAAAAAGACTTGTTCACAGAAGTAATGGCAGAAAACTTCCTCAACATGGAAAAAGAATAAATGAAGCATATAGAATTCCCATTAGCCACGATCAGAAAAAAAGAAGATAAAACTACACCAAGGCATATAATAGTCAAGAACACAAGAACAGAATATTAAAAGCTGTTAGAGAAAAGAAATAAACCACCTATAAAAGAAAGCCCATCAGAATCACAGAAGATTTCTCAACACAAACCCTTAAGTGAAAGAGAGCTTGGAGTAAAATATTTCAACCCCTAAAAGAAAACCTCCGAGCCAGATTAATATACCCTAAAAAACTATCTTTCAAAGACGATAGAGAAATAAGATACTTCCATAAGAAAGAACACCTGAAGAAATTCATGACCACCAAACTAGCACTCCAAAAAGTTCTGAAGGATATTCTAGAAAAAGGCAATTCCATGAATCCAAATAGAATGAAGCCACCAGGCAAGGTGAGCCATAAAACAAAAGGTAAAGAAAGGGAACCAACTGTAGGAAAATACCATGACAAGAAAGTCAATACATTTCAGTTATAACTATCAATGTAGATAGTCTCAGTTCAGTGATGAAAAGAAACAGAATGGATCAAGAATCAAGATCCAACAATATACCACATACAAGAAACACATTTAATTCAAAAAGAAATTCACAGACTGAAAAAAGTTTGGAAAACAATACTCCATGTGACAGGAATCTAGAAAAAAGCTATTCTATTTGCAGACAAAGTGGATTTCAAGCCAAGACTGATCAGAAGAGACAAAGAAGGTCACTGCACCCCTGTAATGGGAATAATCCAAGAATAAGAGATAACAGTCATAAATATGTATTACCAAATACTAGCACACTCAAATGTATAAAACACACATTAATGGATAAGAAAAATCAAATAAGCACTAGTACAACTGTAATGGGAGACCTCAATACCCCACTGTCACAGACAGATCAACTAGACAAAAAAAAAAAATCAACAAAGAAGTATCAGATCTGAACCAAACCTTTGAACAAAAGGACTTAGATGATATCAACAGAGTATTCCATCCAACAACAAAAGAATGCACATCGTTCTCAGCTGCACATGGGTTACTCTCCAAAACAGACCACATACTAGCTCATAGAACATGCTTAAGTAAATGCAAAGGAATTGAAATTATCCCATGCATATTATCAGATCATAGTACAATGAAACTGGAAACCAGTGCCAAAAGAAACCACAAAAATTGCATAAACACATGAAAATTAAATAGCACTCTCTGAACAATCAATAGTCAAAGATGAAATTAAAGAAGAAATTAAATAAATTAGAGTTTCCACAATTAAATCATAATGTCAATTCAACATACTGGAACTATAGGACACAGTTAAAGTAGTCCTACAAAGGAAATTTATAGCAGTGAATTCCCAAATCAGAAAAACAGAGTGTGCTCAAATAAATAACCTAACATCAAACCTCAAGGTTCTAGAAAAAAAAAAAAAAAAAAAAAAAAAAAAAAATTTTTTTTTAAAAAAAAAAAAAAGGTTAGACCTAAAGCACAAATAAGGGAGAAAATTATAAAGATCAGAGTAGAAATTAATGCAATTGAGACTAAGAAAACAATACAAAGAATCAAAAAGTTGGTTCTTTGAAAAATTAAATAAAATAGACAAACCCTTAGCAACCTTATCAGAAAAAGGAAAGACATATTCATGGAATTAGGTATGAAAAGGGTAAAATCACAATCAATTCTGCAGAAATCCAGAAGATCATCAATACTTACTTTAAGAAACTATTCTAATAAGATGGAAAATGCAGAAGAAATGGACAGTTTCCTAGATAAACATGAATTACCAAAGCCAAATCAAAAAGACAGAAAAAAATTAAAACAATCCAATATTTGTTAATGACACTGAAGAAGTAATTAAAAAACTACGAGCAAAGAAAAGGCCAGGTCCTGTTAGATTCACTGCTGAATTTTATAAGAACTTTACAGAAGACCTAATGACACTATTCCTCAAACTCTAATGAAATTGAAAGGGAAGCAATACTTCCAAACTCATTCCTGGAAGCAAGCATTACTCTGATACCAAAACCAGAGAAGGATCCAACAAAAAAAAGAGAACTACAGGCCAATCTCCTTAATGACATAGATGCAAAAATCCTCAATAAGATACGGGCAAAGAGAATGCAGCAAATCATCATGAAGATTATATAGCATGACCAAATAGAAATCATCCCAGGGATGGTTCAACATATTCAAATCAATAAATGCAATGTACCACATTAACAGAACCAAGAACAAAAACCACATGATCATTTCATTAGATGATAAAAAGCATTTAACAAAGTACAACACCATTCATGATAAAAACCCTACAGAAAATTAGATAGTAGGTCTTCATCTCAATCTGATAAGAGTCATCTATGACAACCCAACACCCAACATCATACGAAATGGACAAAAACTAAAGCTTTCACTCTAAAATCAGAAACAAGATAAGGATGTCCACTATTACCACTCCTATTCAATACAGTTCTAGAAGCAATTAACCAAGAGAAAGAAATAAGGATAGAAAAGGAAGAAGTTAAATTACCATTATTTTCAGATGACATGATACTCTATATAGAAGACCTCACAAACTCCACCAAAAGAATTCTAGATTTAATAACCAAATTTAGTAGTGTAGCAGGACACAAAGTCAATGCTCAAAAATCAATAGCATTCCTGCACATAAATAACAAACTCACTGAGAGAGAAATTAGGGAAGTAACACCTTTCACAACAGCATCAAGGAAAATGAAATACCTAAGAATCAATCTAATGAAGGAAGTAAAAGACCTTTACATTGAAAATTGTAGCGCTCTGAAAAAGGAGATGGAAGAGGATATCAGAAAATAAGAAGATATCCCTTGTTCTTGGTAGGCAGAACTAATATAGTGCAAATGGCCATACTTCCAAAACTGTTACACAGATTTAAGGCAATCCAAATCAATGCCAAGAGCGTGCCTCACAGAACTAGAGAAAACAGTTCTAAAATTAATTTGGAGCCAGAAGAGACCTAGAATAGCAAAAGTAATTCTGAGCAACAAAGGCAAGGCAGCGGGTATCACAATCCCTGACTTGATATGATACTACAGTTATTGTGACAAAAACAGCATGGTGCTGGCAAAAGAATGGATCCGAGGATCAGTAAAACAGAAGATGAAGAAACAGCTCTAAACACAGCTCTTTATCTTCAATAAAGGGGCCAAAAACCTTCAATGGAAGAAAGATAACCTCTTTAATAAATGGTACTCGGAAAACTGGCTTTCCACATGCCAGAGATTAAATCTAGACCCATATCTCTCACCATGCACTAAGCTAAAATGAAATTGATCAAGATATAAATATTAAAACAGAAACATTTAATCTGCTGGAAGATAAAAAAGGTAAAAACTCTTGAAGACAGAGGTGTAGGCAAAAACTTTATGAACAAAACCTGATTGCACAGGATACGTGACAAAGTGTCAACAACCAAGATCTCATCATATTAAAAACCTTTTCTACAGAAATAAATCACCAACAGAGTGAAGACACAACTCACAGACTGGGAAAACATTTTTATCAGCTATTCCACAGACAAAGGACTAATATTTAGAATTTATAAAGAACTCAAAAAATCAGAGCCCCCAAATTTAAAGAGCCAATCCAAAAATGGGAATCTGAAATGAATAGACACTTCTCCAAAGAAGAAGTACAAACTGCAAATAAATACATGAAAAAATGTTCAACATCACTGGTCATTTGAGAAATCCAAATGAAAACAACACTGAGATCCTATCTCACTCCAGAGAGAATAGCTATTGTCAAGAAATCAACCAATAACAAAAGTTGGCGAGAATGTGGGAAAAAAGGAACACTTTTCCACTGCTGGTGGGAGTGTAGATTGGTGTGACCGCTGTGGAACTTCCAATGTGGAGATTCTTCAGAAAATTGAAAGTACAGGTTCCATCTGATCCAGCTATTCCCATTCTTGGTATCTTTCCAAAAGAGTTAAAAATATTACGCCACAGTCATATGCACACCCACTTTTTTTTTTTTTTTTTTT